GTAGTGGCCGCCGGTGCGTCCCCGAAGCCGGCGCGCAGAGTCCGCAAACCCGACCGGGAGATCTACCAGCCCGGCGGGCGGAGGCTCCAGCAGCAGGCCGGTAAGGCCGCGGGTCCGAGCAAGGAACCTGCGACGGGAAAAGAACCAGGAGCCGACAGGACTCGGGTGCCGGGGAAGGACGTCCTGTCCAGGAAGGAGAGTCCGGCCAGCAGGGAGAGCAAGCAGGAGCCAGGGCGGCCCAAGGATGCTCCGGCAAAGAGCAGGGACCCGGCGGGCGAGAGCCTGAGCGCGCGAACAGAGAGGCTGAGCCTTTCGGAGGGGGCGGAGGGGGAGGAGAGGAGGGGGAAGAGAGCAGGGAGCGAGGAGGGAGGGCGGAGGAAGAAGGCGGGGAGCGAGGGGAGGAGGTCGAGAGCCGGGGGAGGAGGGGAGAGGAGGGACAAGGCCGGGAGAAAGACTAGAGGAGGAGGAGAAAGGGAGGGAGAGCGAGAACCGAGGAAGAGAGGTGAGAGGGGGAAGCCTCTGGCAGGGAGGGAGGTGGTGGAGCCAGAGAAGCAGAGGGAGAGGGATGGAGAGGAAGGGAGGACGAAGGCCCCGCACGGCGGCAGCGCCTCCTCTCGCTCTTACTCCAGGTCAGACAAGCGGTGCCCCCGCCACCGCACCTGCAGCACCAGCTCCGCCAGCAGCGGGACCAGCCTGGACGGGGGGGGCGGCCGGCAGGCCCGGGACAGGGCTGCGGGATCGGCCCCCGCCTCCGCGGGCCTGGGGGACAGGAGGGAGAGGGCGCGGGCGCTGGCGCGGGCGCGGCGGGACCTGTCCTCCACGGACTCCCTGGAGGAGGGCGGGCCGGGGAGCGGGGAGGAGTGGTGGAGAGCCCGGGAGAGGGACCGGGACGATGGCGGGAGCGCGGAGAGGAGGCGCGGCGGGGGCAGGGGGCAGGGCGGGGCAGGCAGCGGGAGGAACACCGGCGGGGTGCTGAGAGTGTCCTTTGACCGCCCCGGCGGCTCCGCGGAGCTGTCGGAACAGCGGAAGCGAGAGGAGGCGGGACCCCGGGGCAGGGGTAGGGGCATCCTGGTGCTCCCTGCCCACACTGACCTGAATGCCCCAGCGGAGGTCGGGCCTCGTCTGCTGGGTGGGGGGCGAGGGGGTAGGGGCCGCGGCAGGGGGGGGGCCACCAGGAGGCTGTGGGATCCCAACAACCCAGATCAGAAGCCAGCCCTGCTGAAGACGCAGCATCAGCACTTACAGCAGCAGCAGTTGCACTTCTTGGACACAGATGATGAGGTGGCAGGGAGCCCTCCTATCCAGCAGGGGGAGCCCTTCCAGAGTTTCCGAGTTTCTCAGCAGGCTGCTGCAGCCTATTACAAATTCCAGAACTCCGACAACCCTTACTATTACCAGTCGCCTCCCACAAGATATCCCTACCCCTACCACGTGCCGTACCAGATGCCAGGCATGAACGGAGTGTTCTCCTCACCTCCCGGTGTCCCCTATTTCCCCGGATACGGCCAGCCGGGGAGTCAGGGGTACCTGACCCCACTGACCCCCGAGGAGGCGGAGGTGCAGGTGCGGGGGCTGCAGCAGCAGGAGCTGGGGAAGCTGCTTCGCATTGCAGACAGTCAGGAGCTGCAGCTCAGCAACCTGCTGTCCCGGGACCGGCTCAGCCCGGAGGGACTGGACAGGATGACCCAGCTGAGGTGAGTGCACGCCCACAGGCTCCTCCCAGTGAAACACAGTGTGACATGGGAGCGCAGGCAGAGACAGGGCACAGAGGAGGATGCTGACGTGAGAGTGTGCACGCACACAGGCCATCGTGGGCTCACGATGATGCTGTGCCAGCGTTGCACTGTCTGGTGTGCACTAGTGCAAAGCGCATTGAAACGTGTTCCCCATGTCACACATGCACTTTTATAATTGTATCAGTCCACAGTGCCTTGTTTTTGATAACTGAATCAGTCAGCGAGCTTTAAAAACACCCTGCATGTACTTATACAGATGCAAACCGGGAAAGCACTTAACAAACAGGTAACGGGAGGCATTAAAGGCAGCAGGAAGTGTTCTGTCTTTTTTCCAACGATATAACCTCCTGGGTGTCGGTTCGGTGTTGACATGTTACACAGGCTTTATGCTCGCTGGCCATCTCATCTGTCTGACTGCCTGTCTGTCTGTCCCCGGCAGGGCAGAGCTGCTCTTGCTGTACGAGCGCGTGATTCTCAGCGACATCGAGTTCTCGGACGCCCAGAACCTGGACCAGGTTCTGTGGAAGAATGTCTTCTACCAGGTGATAGAGAAGTTCCGTCAGCTGCTGAAGGACCCACCCAACGAGACCACGCCAAGGATCAGAACCATGCTGCTGACGCTGCTGGATGAGGTAGTTATGCCTTGGGGAGAGGGTCAGGGGCAAAGGTCACCACCCCTAGTATTGAGCCCTCTGTAATCAGCACAGTCTGTGTGGAGCCTGCATGTCCTTGTGTCTTGAACCGGAAGGAAAAGGCAGTGATCATCACTAGCACTGTCCCCTATGTAATCAGTACAGTCTGTGGAGCCTGCGTGTGCTGAGCCCGAGGCAAAGGGCGATGACCACCACTAGTGCTGACCCCTCTGTAAACAGAACGGTCTGTGTGGAGCCTGTGTGTATGCGCTTACAGGAAGAGGGCGGTGGTTTCTGCCCTCATGCAGATTGTGCTTTCTTTCCCAGGGGGCCGTGTTCTTCGATGCGCTGCTGCAGAAGCTGCAGACAGTGTTTCAGTTCAAGCTGGAGGACTACATGGATGGCATGGCCATCCGCAGCCGCCCGCTGAGCAAGACAGTAAGCACTCCCCTCCTGCAGTTGACCTCTGACCTCTGACCTCTGAACCCTGACTTCTGACCCTGGTCCTTGAGAATCCCAGCTCCTTTGACGTTCCCTTGGCTAAGTCTCACATTTCTTAACCAGTTTAATTACAAAACCAGAGGGCACGAGTGGAAGTGCATTTAAAACCACGCTTGGCTTCAGTCTGCCCTGTCCCTGACTGTGTTGTTTCCAGGTGAAATACGCACTGATCAGTGCCCAGAGATGTATGATCTGCCTGGGAGACATTGCCAGGTACCGCGAGCAGGCCAACGATACCACAAATTATGGGAAGGCGCGCAGGTAACCCTCTTCCGTTCTGAAATCTCTGCGTTGTCAGTACCATAGTAATCACATTTTGTTTTGTGGACACAACTTTTTCCTGTAAACCCTAGTCACTGTTTATTCCTGGAATGACTGTCCAGCGGATTCTTTTTTCAGAAATGACTAATGTTTCCTCATGTAAAGCATGAATCCCTCTGTGTCTCTCTCTCCTATCCAGCTGGTACCTGAAGGCACAGCAGATCGCCCCCAAAAATGGACGCCCCTATAACCAGCTGGCCCTCCTGGCTGTGTACACGGTGAGAGAGCCCTCTAGCTGCAGTGCAGGGGAGGGGAGCTCAGAGGACTGCATGCTGAGTGGCGTCCGCTTATATAGCCTGGTCTGCTTCAGCGCTGCCCATTTCCTGACTGCTGGAGCAGATCCAATAATACAGGACTCTGCACTGTTCCAGGACAGTATCCCAAGTAGACAGAGGGCACTGTTACTTTATCAGCAGCAGGAAAATTATAATGGAGAGATAGTGCCAGTCTTAGATTGCTCTTTTCACAATTGCATAAAGCGCACAAGGGAAAGTGTCTTGGGGCATCCTTCATGTCATTTGGTCCCCTGTTGTTTACCTGTCTTGACTCAGAGGCAGCAGTATTCAGCAGAAGGGCTGCTGCAGCTTACTGTTGCCACTAGGTGTCATTGTAGGCCAGAGAAACACCGCTGGCTAAACTCTTTTGTGGGCACAGCATAGTTCATGAGAAACACCCAACAACATGTTTATCTGTATCATCCTGTCAGTTATTTAATAGTATAAATGAAACTAACCAAGCCCTTATCTTGGAGATTTTCAGTTACTGTCACTTTTCTTGATTTACATTCCTGCTTTTCTGTCTATGAGTTTACAGGTTTTATTCTGACTCTCCTGTGCTCTTGCTTCTCACTGTCCCCCTCTCTGCTCTGTTGTTCTCCTGTCCGATGGGCCTGCCTCTCTCTTCCAGAAGAGGAAGCTGGACGCAGTTTATTACTACATGCGCAGCCTGGCTGCCAGTAACCCCATCCTGACGGCCAAGGAGAGTCTCATGAGCCTGTTTGAGGAGACCAAGCGCAAGGTGAGGCCAGTTTGGAGGCAGGGCATCTCCAGCCCTGCTCCTGGAGAGCCCCAGTCCAGCAGCTTTTATATATCACCTTTCTATCATTGATTACCAAAGACCTGGAACATTTTAGTTGTGGTCAATTAAGCAATCGTTTATAACAGAAGCTGAGCCCTCTCGTTGTGCAGAGGTGCCTTAATTGAGCAGATTACTCATTTAGCTCATTTATCCAGTCTTTATAGTCTGTAGGACTGGACTGGAAATTCTGCAGGGCCGGGTTTGGAGACGCGTGAAAGTGCCCTTCCTGTCAGTCTGTATTGTTCTAATGTGGAGAGCAGTGCAGTCAGGAAGCTTTTGAGCCTTTCTGCAGCACTGGGCCCCTGCAGTGCCGGCTGACCCCTCTCTCTCCCCCCCCATTGTCTGTCTACCAGATGGACCAGCTGAAGTGCCGGAACCAGCCGCAGGACTGGGATTGGGCGGGAGGCAGCTCGGGCCCCCGGGGGTCCGGCGGGGGCCGCGGGGAGGACGCAGCGCGGGTGGAGATCTGGTTGCGGCCGGGAGAGCAGAGGCAGCCCCGGGCCGGAAGCGAGTCCGGCAGAGAGTCGGAGCAGGACAGCGAGCTGGGGTCTCTGAGCGCCAGTGACGTGAGTGTCCGCTCTGGAAACCCTTTTCCGTGGCGTGCCCAAGAGCCCTGCGCGCACGCTGGATAACGTGGTCGCTGCAGGCAGCTGTACTCAGTGAAATGAGTGTCATAACATCCATGCTTCAGAAAAACAGCAGTCAGCTGGCCCTCTGTGTGTTAAAGTCATCTCTGCTCTGCCTTTGGCCTGTCCTGAGATGTGAATCACACGTCACCCCTTTCTTACAGCCTAGCTTCCCTCCCTGCGCTAGTTCCTCTGTTCTCACCACATGTCATACCCACAGCCCAGCCTTCCCAGCCTCCTCCTCTCTGCCTGTTCAGCAAGGCTGCAGGCACCGTGCTAGATGGAACCTCCGTAGTCCGGGGCAATTTCCATCCCTCCATCCCGAGGCGGCAGCAGCCACAGGCAGGTGATCCGCTGGCTCCGATCGGACAGCCCGGCTGCCTGTAGCAGAAAGACAAACCAGAGGGGACTTTGGCGCTGTCTGGAAGACAGTCAGCTGTCGTACCCAGAGCACTCCCAGGGCTAGAGGCTGATCAGGGTCGCTGATAGCAGTACCTCGGTTGTACCACTCATCCATAGGTGGGAGAAGCAAAGAGGCTTAGCTGCTCACTCGGGGAGGCTCGGGAGCCAGGAGCCTCTTGGAGACGAGACCTCTCCCCTGAAGCGGAGCACATCAGCAATGTACATGTTACACATTTACACGGCTCGGGGGCCCAGTCTCGGAGCTCGGCAGTGCGTCACGGCATGAAGGGGGTTTTGAGGCGTACAGTGGTTATACAGCGTTCTGCAGAATACGTAAACAGCAGACCCTTGGTGTAACAGACTGATCGGGCGGACAGGACGTCCGTTAGTTCCAAATATCCGCTGAATCACAGATGATGTGTTTTCGACCCAAAAGCACACTTATATGAGAAAAGATATCTACATACTATTTAAATGCCTTTATTTTTTTAAATTATTTTTAATAAGTGCAGTCAGCGCAATCAATTAAAAATTGTCATTCATTTTTTATCATACATATACACACTCTTTATTTCATGTGTCATAAAAAAATTCTGTAAAACACATGAAGCACAAGCCACTCATTGTAAGTGACTGACCTGCCCCTGTAGGGCACCATTGATATTCTTGAATTTTAAACCTATGGGGTCTTTATTTTTGTCCTGTTTTACTATTTGTGCATTTCCCCGTTATTGTGGGGAACATCTGGTATTACTGATTTTGCAGACAAAATTTCCCCTTCAGCAGATTGTTTGTTAAATCCAAAGTCCGTTAAACCGATGGTTTACTGCAGTTTGAATTTTGTTTGCTGTTGTATTTCCCCTTTAAGCGCTGGGAGGTGTGAGAGTACTGACACTCAGAGTGGCGGGGGTGTGGAGCAGGTTATCAGAACATGCGTGCTGTAGAGGCGGGCGGGCGGGGAGTCTCTGAGCGCCGGCCGAGTGGCAGCTGGAAAAGAGCTGATCCAGCTGGAATGGTTTCACCTTTCGGTGTTCCTGTGACAGTCAAGGAAAGCAAGCGTGCGAGAAAGGAAGGCAGACAGAACCCCTGAGAAAGGAGAGAAGGATTCACACACACACACACCACACTTTCTGAGAGTGCACTCAAGTGCAGATTTGTTAACCAGAGCACTTTCACAAGTGGCAAGTACTTCCCCCCTCGATCGCAGTCAGAGCCATTGCGTAGAATCTGAACCCTTCTGCCTACGGAAATGTTATGCATGTGTGTACAGCTATTACTGTATCAGTGAAAACTCTGACGGTGTGCGTCTCTGCACAAGGAAAACAAGAAGTCACCAGTTCTCACAGTTCTGATTGGTTTTGTCATAAACCAGATAGTGCCGTTTTTAAAATCTAAAACTGCTTCAACTGTTTTTGACCTCCTATCACCCCGCCTAAAGTTTTATTTCGACAGAGAAGAGTAGAGTCAATGAGAATAGAATGAGAGGCAATGGGAGGTTCTCACGAATACACAGAGTCCTCTGCACTTTCTGTGGTTTTTTATCACGTGACTTCCTTTGAACTCGACTCTGGGCAATCCTGAACGCTCAGCCTCTGACTTACAATACGAGGCCTGAGAAGAGCTGCTCTTCACGAAATGGAAGGTTACTCTGCCTCCTCCTCAGTTCAATCAAGCAGTCTTCAGGCGGCACTGAACCCTAACCCTAACCCTCCTGCACATTTATTTTCCATCTTTGCAGAAAAATGTGGCCAGTCAATATTCTTTTCAACAGAATGAGGGGGTGATGTATGATAGTCACTGCTACCCAGTTGAAAATAATGGTTAATAATGATAAAAATGAATCTTTTGCTGAATGGGGATCTTGTGAAAAGGCAGTAGCTGCTGATAGCTTTTAAAGGGAGCATTGTCACTGTGATATTAACAGAAAATGCGGGAATACTGCAGGCCCAGAACATACATGTGTGTTTACTACATTTCAGATCCCTGGCACAGTTGCCACACATTGCACTTAACAAAGCATAAACACACAAGTAAATGGCTAGATACAAGCACGGTGTCTTAGTATACAAGTGTTTTTTATTACATTTGAAACAAGTCAATATTTTCAGTGTTTGTTCCTCTGTAGTTTCTTGTGTTTTTATGTACAGGTATAAACGTTTTAGTGTTTGCTTAGAGCAGCCCTGGAAGTGAAAGGGCAGGCACTGTGCTCCAGTGGTTACATAGCGGGGTCACCCGCGCGCTAAGGGCTCCGTCAGTCTGGCTGTCAGCTGTGATTTTCAGGAAGCGCTGGTCCCAGGTCAGCTGAGTGTTAGCGGTGGGCACGAGGACTGGGCCTGCCCCCGCAGGAAGGGCTTTGGAAGGTTAAGGTCTGAGGTTCTGTCCTAGGATTGAAGGTACTGGAAGTGGGGGAAGACGGGAAAGCCTGTGGACATGCAGGAATTGCTGGTTTGGGACTGGAGAATGAGCTTTCTACCACGTGCACACACTCAGTGCGCCTTGGAGATAGCAGTCTGACTCCCATTGCTCAGCATTTGGAGCCATTCCAGGTTTTAACAGCTACAGGCTCTTGTCTGAGAGCCAGCGCCAGGTGTGATATTCCACGCTTATTACTGCTTTTGAAGTAACTTTGCATAGACGCGGACATGAAATATGTAGAATGTATGTAGAAAAGGAGACGCGAAGTCTCGCACAAGCGTATCGATCACCATTCTTAGTAAGCTTGTGAATGAGCAATTAAAATGCTGAACTGTTATTTCTGTTAATACCTCTAAAAGGCAACATGCAGGACTATTGCCTTCATCAACTCTTTGCAGATGTAATACAGTCACCTGGGCCTACTAAAGCCTATGTACTGTAGTGCCGCAGGTGACCTCCGCTTCAGGGTCTTAAGTGCTGCCCCATGTTCTGGGTGTTCCTGTCCCCTGGCTGCACACCGATGCGCCAGGCCAGCCTGCACTCGCAGAACCGCTCGTGTTTTTGATGACGCTACGGAAAAAGACAAGCCACCAGGTGTGATTTCCGGCTTTGTTGACATTGCTTCTCCGCCAGCGTGTATCGTTATCTGGGCTCCCAGGTGCTTACCTTCATCGCACGAGAGGCCCGTAAAAACCCGACACGGATCAGTTTTGCTACCCGGTGGGAGTCGGGAGTCGGATTTCCATTCCCGCCCGTGGTGTGTGAGCGTCTGCCTAACGTGCACATGCTTCTCTGGAGCCGCAGTTTCTGTTAAGTGGAAGATGAGCTGTTGACTCATTCTGAGTGCCTGTATGAGTGTGTGTGTCAGTGCGGATGTGTAAACTGGCTGCTGTTGCATGGCTTCAGTCACGTCCCCGGCAGAGCGACGGTGGGAATGTGGTTAGTTTGGTTTAACCAACTCATAAACTGCGCCCTGGCACTATCGGCTTCCTCTCCAGACAAAGCACAGAAAGCCAGCCGCTCGTCTTGAAGTGAGTGCCGCGGGTTATAAATAAACCGCCTTGGCGGTTAGCTGACCTTGGGGTCGAGTTCCGAAAGCCTTGGCCTGTGGCGTTGTGAGAGTTTCACTTCACCCAAAACCCCCTCCTCCACCGCCCCCCGCCCCCCGCCCCCTGCCCCCAGCCCGCAGGCGGCCAGCTGCCAGCCCTGGCGGAGCGGTGCCTCTCGCAGCGCAGGTCGCCAGAGGCCGGCCTGACTCCAGGGCCGCGTGCAGAAGGGCGGCCCTGTGTTTAGCCAAACCCCCCCCCCAAGAGGAACCACCCGAAAAGCCATGTTTGCTGCCGTCGGCCCTCGGCGCCTCATCCGCGCGGGATCGGCGTGTCCTTGTACGTCGCTATATATGCGTTTCCACCCACAGCAGGCACGGGGTTTTTTGTTGTGCTTACTACGCTCTAATTACCCTGGGGAGTTCAGCTTGCAGAGCCACAGGCCTGCGATGGCTGCCTTGTTAGCATTTCACGCTCATTCTTGTGCTCGTGCTTAGCTGGGAACTTCAGACCTGTGTGCATGCCTGCAGAGCAGGTGCCGCCCCGGTTAAAGGGAGCTGTGTATTGGTATACAGCATTCTTATTAACTCAATGACCTGTCAGCTATTCAAGCAACATGTGTGGTAGGAGTTGTGCAGTCTAGAGCAGTCGAATTGGGCAGTGGTAGTCATGGTCCATGGAGACTGACAGGAGATGCACCAAAGGGCGCTATTAGGGATATTAGAATAAGAGAAATGTTAAAAAGAGGAAGAGGCCATTCTTCCTGTCTAGTTTGTCTGACTGACCATAGACTCTAATCCAGCCATTTCAACCAGATAAAGACTTCATGTTCACTTCAGCAGCATGGCTGTGTCTCTTGTTCCACACTCCAACTCCTTTGTGTACAGACGCACCTCCTGTTAGTTTTAAACACGCTTCCTTGTCGTTTCCGCTTGTGTCCTCACGTGTCTCACTTGGGTCTGAAGAAGGCTGCTTGGTTGACTTTGTTGGTGCCTTTGAGGCGTTTGAATACTCAAGATAAGGGCCCCTCTTGGTCTTTTCTGCTCAAGAACAAAAAGATCCAGTTTTCCTGTCCCA